GGGGGGGGCTTGTATTGTTTCCATTCTACAATAGGTGGCAGAACCCTTTCTGCACTCTTTCTTTGTGGGGTCTGTTCTGGGCCAGTGGTTCTCCAGCTTCTGAGTGTATTGGAATCACCCAGCGGCCCTGTTAGAGCACTACAGGCCTCATCTCCAGAGTGGACCTGGGGTGGACCCTGAGGATTTCCACTTCCAACAAGTTTCCAGGTGGTGCTCACGCTGCTGGTCCTGAGACCACACAGGAACCAACCACCATCTGCATCAGTGCCACTGTGGGGTCTCCGCCGAGTGCTGTGAAGCACGGGGAGGGCTGCCAGGGCTCTGCAGCACTGAGCTTGTGGTTCTGTTCATTCCAGGCAAAAACTATTAGCTTGGCTCAGCTATCAGGAAACTTAAGTATATTAGGAACTTGGTTATATGAGTCTACTCTTTGAACTGTAAACTGAAATCTAAGTACAGACCAGGTCTTTCTCATGAAAGTTACTGTCCAAATTCAGAATAAAACACTGGGCTTCAAAGACAGTATCAAAAATTTAAACAGTAAACTATCTCACTGTTAAAAATGGTTATATGTTGAAATGATAGTATTTTGGATACGATGGATTAAATAAAGTATTAAAGTTTTTTTATTGGTGTTTTGTTTTTTAACTGGCTACTAACTAGAAGTTTAAAGACAGGTGGGTGGCTGGTGTTCTTGTTGGCACTGCTCCTGATCCTCAACACTGGAGGGCAGAAAGCACCCACATTTTTTCAGGAAGAATTGTCCCCTGAGCTGCTCGTGTTTCTGTCTTCAAGTGGGATGGGGTTGTGTCCGTGTCGCAGAGCTTTCTGGAGCGCTCCACACACCTCGGTCTCGTGCACTGTTAGGCGTCCAGGTAGTTCAAAGGGCTGTGAAAGGCCACGAAAGCAGAGGTTCTGGTCCGTGTCTCTTGGCAGCACTGAGTCCCTGCTCTGTGTGGTTTGCATCCAGAAGTTCTTGTCATTTACAGATACTGAGGCCCTGATCCACCTGCCGTACCACCTGCCTTCCCAGCCTCTGCCAGGAGAGTTCACTTTAGCGTGAGGTGCCGTTGAGGGGCTCACAACGGGGCATGAGGTTGTATGTGGCAGTGTGCCAAGGGATGGGGAAGACACAGGTATTGTAAATTTTCATAGGAAGTGCCAACATTAACATTGGTAGGAAGTTTGGAGAATTCTTAGTGTCAAAGTCTGCATGCATTATTGAGAAAAGACTTGGCAGTACTTCTGTGCTCCATCTTCATCTGCCCAGGGGAGGAAGGGGCTCATTTTTTGAACTGCTGGGGCACCTCGGTGGAATGTTCAAGAAACAGTGGGTGGTACAAGGAGCCTCAGAGTTGCAAAGTTAAAGATTAAATCGCATCTCCGCCGACTGATGAGCTTGAGCAGCTGTGGAGCCTGTTGGCTGTGAGTCCAGCTCTACCTAACATGCCATTGGAGGTACTGTGTCTTGTTTGCTGTGTCCCTGGCAGTTGAGCATCTCCAGGGTGGAGAAGCCTGGGAAACTCGGGGCGCAGTCTCAGATTGAACCCCGAAGCTTCACTGAGGGGAATGGGGACCCTGTGCAGCTGTCCCCACATGCCCTGGCTGTGGATCACTGCTCCCCGCTGGACAAGGAGTGTGAAGTTGGCCTCTGCAGGTGGCACCCTTACTTTTGAGAGGGAATTTTGGCTCTGGCAGATACATGAAGGGCCCACTTTTAAGCTGAAATGCATGAATTTTCTCTGCTGGGACAGACTGTCTTCAGCACCACGTGGAGGCGCCTCTCCCGTCAAGGCTGCTTGAATGCCTTTCCTGAGCTGGGCCTGGGTGGCGCCAGCAGCTGCTGCTTGCAAGGCCCTGAGCCAGGCTGTCATTCCCAGTGTCCAGCTTCCAGTTCACAGCCTGGACAGACTGGTGGCTGCTGGCCGTGCTCTGTGTGGGCTGCACTATCAGATGTGTTCACAAGGTGTCACCAGAGGGCCCTCCTGGGAGTCAGGCAGGGCGTCTGGGATGTTGGCTCTGAGGAGGCCTGGGGACAGCACTGCAGGAAAAGCAGGCACAGCTCACCCACCTGTCCTGAGTCGGGGAGGCTACTTATGTTAAAGGGGTGAGGTTTTTTTCAAATGTTTGTGTTTTTTTTATTGATTTTTTGGAGAGACATTTTTTTTCATTGATTTTTTTGGGGAGAATGGAAGGGAGAGAGAGAGAGAGAAAGACACATTGATTGGTTGCCTCCCACACGAGTCCTGACCAAGGCCGGGAACAAACCTGCAACCGAGGTACGTGCCCTTGACCAGGAATGGAAACCATGACCCTTCAGTCTGCGGGCCAACGCTCTAACCACTGAGCCAAACTGGCCAGGGCTCAAATGTGTTTTTAATTAACCTCCCAAATTTATTCTTTGCAATAAGCCTAAGACCAAACTTGAAATGAGCTCCTAAACACATGCACACGCACACCCCCCACATGCCCATAGGCAGAGCTGCTGGTAAATGTTACACTCTGGACACTTCTTTTTTGTGCTGAACTCAACTAAAGCTACTTTTGTAGACAGCGTTCCTTTGGCTCAATCTTAAGGAAGAAAGTGCAGTTAGAAGGGTGTCAACGTACCAGTGTTAAGGAGCAATCACAAAGATTACTGCTTCCGTGGCAACCTGGTAGCAAGCTTATGGGATCCCAGGCAGAAGGTCAGATTCTCTACTAAACTGCCCCTGTGAGCGCATCCATGTGCCCAGTTGTGAAATCGTTTATTGGGCGATGATTGGCTGTCATGTGCTGAGCGCTGACTCCCCACACTCCCCACCTCCTGGGCAGCCCCTGTGCTGCTCACCTCCAAACACAAGGGGGCAGTCTGTTCAGTCGGTTCAAGTCGAGTTCACCTCCCAGCCACCTCTCCCCACAGAGACCAGAGAACCCGGGAGGTTTTGACTAAAGCAGTGGTTCTCAGACTGTTCAGGTGTCAGGAACCCTGGCGTCTTGGCATTTGTGGTGTGCCCAGGAACACGGCCGTGCTGAATGCTGTGCTACACTCAGAACTCCTGCAAAACCAGAGACGCATCCTGGCATCCAGCAGGAGGAAACAAACACATCAGAGGCTCAGGTGACGTTTGCAGGGAGAAAGACAAGTGGAGAGGACAGTGTGGCTTTAGTTTCTGCTATAAATTAGAAAAGCAGCTCATTCCATTTGAAGGAGAATTGGGGTGCTTGTCAAGAGCTGGGCTTGACCCGCAGTGGTTCAAATTCTTATTAAAACAGTGACGTGGCCGGGCCAGCGTGGCTTAGTGATTGAGCATCCACCTAGGATCCGGGAGATCGCAATTCAATTCCCGGTCAGGGAACGTGTCGGGGCTGCAGGCTTGATCCCCAGCAGGGGGCGTGCAGGAGGCAGCCGATATTTAAACTGTAAGCCTGGAGCAGAAGCATTTGTGATTGGATTTTTTTTTCAGTCCTCACCTGAGGATATTTTTTCCATTGCTTTTTCAGAGAGTGGAAGGGAGACAGAAAGAGAGACATGGATGTGAGAGAGACACATCTATTGCTTGCCTCCCATACTCTCCCCAACCGGGGCCAGGGATCAAGCCTGCAATCGAGGTATGTACCCTTGGCTGGACTCAAACCTGGGACCCATCAGTCCAAGGTCTGACACTCTAACCACTGAGCAGAACTGGCCAGGGCTGTGATTTTATTTTTTGATTTATAAACCATTTTTAGAGCAGTTTTAGGGTCACTGCAAAATTGAGCAGAAAGTACATCCCACACCTCATCTCCCACTCTCTCTGAAAAGCAATGGAAACAAATATCCTCAAGTGAGGATTAATAAAAAGTAAATATAAAATAAAATCAGAGAGTTAAAACACACCAAGGTCTCTCTGGGTGCTAGGAGAGCTCAGTACTACTGAATGTCATTGCCTCTAAGCCTTTCAG